GAATAAGTTTCTGATAAAAAATAATCAGGTGATAAATGATACTGCTCTAACTGTTGAACCTGTGGGCCTTTATGTTTTGATAATTCACAAACCAATCGATAGTAAGTTCCCCAAAACAGTCCTGAAGTTTCATGAATATCTGATCGCTTAATTTCTAATCGTTTGGATCCCAGATTCTTGTCAAGTAGTCTGCCAGATTTTCTGAGCTTGGTATTCAGCATACTTTGTATACCTATATATCATTTATTGCACAAAAGTCCCAAAGGTCTCACACTATTTCTTTTTGCTATTGCTGCCTTTCTCCTCTAATTATAACCTTTTGCGCTATTTTGTTGTCGATAAATAGGTTTATCCACAAGTGCATTAAAAGATCTCTAAATAATTGAAGGGCTCTCAATGCCATCATACTTTCTAATTGTGCAATTTTTCATGCTGAAAAAGATCGAATCCAGTTCCCTATAGCTCTGTGTTCCATAAAAGTCCTGCACCAACCAACAGTAGATGCATCTACATATACTGACTTTATCAGAGAAGATTTCTATATTGGTTTCCCATTTCATCCTTTTATATTTTTGATTAACTAATCTATATCCCTTCGAGCTTGGTCTGACAATGCAACGTTTTTGTTCCACTCCCAATAGATACAATTTTGTGCATCGATTAGTTTGTATAGTTTCAAATATTTTATTTGAGCTAGCATGAATACTTGAGAAAAACTCTAAATTTTTCTTGTGATTGATGCCAATTTTCTTACTGAAATTTTCTCTAAATTTTTTATTGATTTCAATTCTTCTATTGTGATGTATATTTTCTTCTCTGGTACTATAACTTAACCTGTCACTGTATTGATAATCAGACTATATACCTTTACCTTTTGTTTTGGTTCTTAGCAGCCTTTCTTTAATACCCTTATCTAGCTACAACTCTTCAAATCTTTCACAATCATGGTATCCCTTATTTCTATTAGAACATCTTAGTTCGGATAACTTACCTAAACATCATCTAAATAATTGTGCAAAAGATTCCTCAAGCCTGCCTGCCACAACCCAATTAGTACTCTCATGATTTTTGTGAAGATCCAAACTGCCTGTAACAACTTGAATAGCAAGACTGTATAGTAGAACCAATTTTGATTGATTTGAAATTTCAAGAATCTCTGTATCCAATTGTCCATAAAGATATGGTGATACCTGTCATGAAGATCGAATATCAATATCTACTATTCTTTTTCGATTGTCCTCAAGAGCCCACCTAGTTCTTCGAAATGAAAGGGCTTTTTTGGCAAAGTCCTGTTTAACTGCCATAAGTCGATTACTAAGGGCAGTGTCATTTATCATCTGATTATTTTTTATCAGAGGCTTACCCCCTCTCCCCTCTCTTAATATAAAAAAAATCAGGTTTTTATATATAATTTTGACTTTTTTTACCCCTCCCCTCTAAAAAATCACCTGATTTTTGTCATATCCCTAAGTGAAATTTCTTGCTTCCTATTTTTAGAATTACAAATACTAAACTGATTTCTAGTAAAAAGTCTGGTCAGCCTTCTCCATAATAGACTTTTCGAATAGCCTCTAATTTTAACAACCTGTCTAATTCTTTCTATAACCATTCTTTTTATTTTGTTGTAAATTTGAACTGCCTTGGGATGCTCATTTGCGACATTGTCTTTACATTTTTTGGAAAAAGTGGAATCTTGTTTTCTAATTACGACAAAACCTTTTGAGATGGCTGGATAATTTTTTTCAGTAATTTATAGCTTCTTTAGTATGAATTCTTCTCATAATACAAGTCTCCATTTCTCTTCCTGATATCTTTTTCAATTTTTCTTCTACTATCTCCTGAGCATAGTCAACTTTTTTGGTCTGATTCAAATTGACGAAAAAACTTTTCTAACTTTCTATATAGACAAATTGATGTGATATGTCTTTTCTCCTCACACACATAACAAACTATATTTGGATTTTTCTTCGACACTCTACTTGACTCAACTGAACCTCCCATTTGAGCATCTCATGAGGTCACAAATACTCCTGAGTTTGGAAAATACTGTTAACTAAACTGATAATAGAAAGCAGGATTTTGGTAAGAGGTTATGTTTTAGAAAGAAGCTTGTATTTGAACAAACATGTTCTCTTGAGACCAAGTCGATAGTTCCTCTGTAATGGCTTGATATTTTTTTCAAGATTTTTTATAATCTTTATATTCTAACTTCGGTTTTTTATTCTTTACCATTTGTCTTGCAAGTAATAGTTTATCTTGAAAGTAAGCCTCTATTAGATTATTGCTAGTAGCTTCCTTCAAGCCGATGCAATATTCTAGTCTTCTTAATTTGCAACTCTTAACATATAAGCTTTAGCGAATGCCATGTCACGAGCTTTAATTACTGGTTCCAATAATTTGTGCAT